CAATTTAGCACGGCCAATCCCCCCTAACCTGCACATCCCTGGGCACTACGGGACAATTTAGCACAGTCAATCCACCCTAACCTGCACACCTTTGGACTGTGGGAGGAAACCGGAGCACCCGGAAGGAACCCACGCAGATACGGAGCAGCGGGGGAAGAACGTGGAACCTCCACATGGAATGCCACCTGAGTCTGAAATCAAAGCCAGATCCCTGGTGCTGTGAGGCAGCAGCGCTAACCACTGAGCCACCATGCCACTCCATCCGTGTATCATTAAGGGACTATTTGAATCAAAACGTCAAACATACAAACTTGTGTGCCTTAAAATGAAACACCAGCTCACTGCGTTTTCTGTCATATTTAACATTTTTTTTATCAGACATGTGTATGGCCTGGCATTTGTCCTCCCCATCCCTAATTGCCCCTTGAACTGAACTTCTGTTTCGTTTCTTTTCAGAAGGGTGTTAAGAGTCGACCCTGTCGCTGTGTGTGGGGGTCTGGAGTCACGAGTAGGCCCAGCCTTGATAAGGGACAGCAGATTCCACCCCCCCACCCACCAATTAGAGAACCCCTGATGGGGGTTTATACCACAATCAATGATGGTCGTCATGGTCACCATCCCCGAGACTAGCTCCCGATTCCGAATTGGATAAATCAAACTTAAATTCGACCGAGGGGGTGCAGGGCGGGAATCAATCCCGTGACCCCCAGAGCGTTAGCCTGGATCTCCGGGATTACTGGCCCACTGATATCACCCTGACACCTACATTGCACATTTAGGACAGAGGGGTGGCATGTGGGGACTGGCTCTTTTGCTGGGCTAGCACAGATATGATGAAATGAGTGGCCCCTTCAACTGTGCACACAGTCAAGCAAGACTTATAGTTCAGTAAAGCAAGTGTCACAGCAATCAGCTCCACCAGTGATGGAGGGAACCCAGTACCCACCTCATACGGTCACACACTTATGCACGCGCACACCTACTCGCGCACACACACTCACTCATTCATTCATTCATACATACTCACACACACACACACACACTCTCTGCCTCTCTCTCTCACTCACACACACTCCACACACTCTCTCTGCCTCTCTCTCTCTCACTCACACACACACACTGCCTCTCTCTCTCACACACACACACTCTCTCTGCCTCTCTCTCTCTCACACACACACTCTCTCTGCCTCTCTCCCTCTCACACACACACTGTCTCTACCTCTCTCTCTCACACACACACACTCTCTGCCTCTCTCTCTCTCTCTCTCACACACTCCACATACTCTCTGCCTCTCTCTCTCTCACACACACACACTCCACACACTCTCTCTGCCTCTCTCTCTCTCTCACACACACACTCTCTGCCTCTTTCTGTCTCACACACACACTCTCTCTGCCTCTCTCTCTCTCACACACACTCTCTGCCTCACACACTCACTCTCACACTCTCTCTCTCTGCCACACACACACATAAAAGAAACACAACATTCTGTGGATGGTGGATGATCTGAGATAAAGATAAATGAAAATAACGAACAAAGATGAGCCATAACTTTTATCCAATAGCAGAACGGGCTTTGGGAATGGGAGTGGCTTTATCCTGTTCCTAATGTTCACGAATGGAACATATTGGAAATACTCAGTGTCTGCACAGAGAGACGGGGTTAGTGTTTCAGGTCCAGCGACCCTTCTTTAGAATAAACACATTTTACCAAAGAGTCATTACTGGACACAGTTTCTCCAGCAAGGTCTGTTTTGATTTCAGATTTCCAGCATCCGCAGTATTTTGCTTTAATTCAAAATTTAGTAGGAAGGTGGATTTTGCCCAAGAAAAGGAGGAGGGATCGGGATTGGACTCATGGTATTTCTGATCCTCTCTCTCTGTCTGCAATGAGAGAGCAGCCTGATGGGCTGGTATGATTTTGGCAACTTTACCCCTTTGTTTAGTTCTGAAGGTAACCCTGAAAGGTGATGTGATGGCTCAGTGGTTAGCACTGCTGCATCACAAACCTGGGTTTGATTCTACCCTTGGGTGACTGTGTGTGTGTGTCCCTCTAGGTACTCTGGTTTCTTCCCACAAAGATGTGCAGGTTCGGGTGGAGTGGCCATGCAAAATTGCCCGTAGTGCCCACGCAAAATTGCCCGTAGTGCCCACAGATGTGTAGGTTAGGTGGGTTAGCCACAGGAAGTGCATGGTTATGTAGATGTGGTGGGTTTGTCTGGGTTAAATGGCCTGTGCACACACCGTAGAGATTGTGTGATAGGTGAGAGGGGAAAGATTTAAAATGGGCCCAAGGGGCAAACATTTCACGCAGAGGGTGGTGTGTGTATGGAACAAGCTGCCAGAGGAAGTGGTGGAGGCTGGTACAATTACAACATTTAAGAGGCATCTGGATGGGGACATGGATAGAAAGGGATTAGAAGGATAGGGGCCAAATGGGACCAGATTAATTTAGGCTGCATGGATGAGTTCGACTTGGATTGAAGGGTCTGTTTCATTGCTGTATGACTCTGTGAATAGGAAGGGTTTATGGGCCAAGATGTTGTCAAATTGGACCACAATAATTTTGGATGTGGACGAGTTGGACCAAAGGGTCTGTTTCCGATCTCCACGTCTCTCCACAGATAATGTACAGATCTGCTGAGTTTCTCCAGCATTCTGTGAACCCCCACCACGGCTCTTTCTCTTTCCACAGACCTGCCGAGTTTCTAATGAGAGATATATTTGAGTTTCAGAAATCTGTGTAACACCCGAACAGAGTCCGGAGAGGGCGCTGGCGTTAATGCTGGGCCCTGTCTGTCTGTTTCTCTCTCTCTCTCTGCTGATACTATCGCGTCAGTTTCTGTGTGTTTTTTCGAGGCTGGGAGTTTCAATCGGTTCCGAAGGAAACAGGCCAGAGTGCAAAAGGGACAAAAATAGCGAGAGGAGCCGGACCTACAAACAGGGGGAGGGGGGAAAAAGGCATTGCTTTCAACAGCAGTGGAAGAGAGCGAGAAAGAGAAAAGGAGTGTTTAGCAAAAGCCTAGGAGATCCTTCCTTAATCAGAAAGAATTCTCCCACCTCCTAACCCCATAACACCCAGCTTCTTCTATCTCTCTCTCTCTCCTTCCTTCCTTTCTCTTGTGTTCCCCAACCCCCCCATACCTTCAATCGTTTCCTTCTCGGGAGGTGAATTAAGTGTTAAGGAATTGCATTTCGTTTCCAAATCAGAGAAGGTAAGGTGTTTTTCTCTCTCTCTCTCTCTCTGTTGTTGCCTTGTTAATGATCTTTTCTGTCTTGCAGCTCTTGTCAAAAAAATAGGGGGCTCTCTGAAGCGACTCAGAAAGAAGATTGAGGTCGGAGGGTGTGAGCAGGAGAAGTGGGGTGGTGGGGAGGAATAGTCTGGAAACACTGTGGTTTATTTTGTGTGTGTGTGTGTGACAATGTTACAGTCAACATATTTAGATAGTTGTTACAGAAACCCAGTTCCTGTCTGGATACATTACCCCTTCCCCAAATGTATCTATTAATTTGTCAGGTTCCCTGCCCCATTATCTGGGATTTTTCTTTCTTTCTTTAAAAACAAAAAGTTATCGACTTTCGTTTTGAGACACACAAAGGTCACACGTTTTGGATCCACGGGCGGGTTATAGAGTTCTTTCTCCGCACCCCTGTAATTTTAACACTCTCTCAAGGCCCGAGTGAGGAGAGTTGGGGGGTGAGTGCTATATTTCATGTGGCCTGGAATGTTGAAGATTCAATCTTCAGGTTCGTTCCAGGTCAATTGCCAATTTTCGTTCCCCCCTCTCCCCACTTCCTGGAGGTACTGTTCGAATTAGAGTTTAGTTTTTCACTGATATGCACCCCCCTCCAAACCTCGCTCTGAATTGACTTCCTGGATTGTAAATGTGCTGAGTCAGTAGGAAGGACGGGAATTGGTGCGAAATGCTGAGTTAGGTTGGGATCAGGGCACACAGTGAGGGGCAGCAGTGTTGTGGGAGAGGGCTGGCATAATCATTCTCTCTCTCTCTCTCTCTCTCTCTCCCTCACACACACACACACACACAACTCTCTGCCTGACTTTGGCTGTAATATCCCTCTCTTCCACTTCCACCTCCAGCCTCCCCCTCCAACATACAGCTGTACAACAGACCCTTCGGTCCAACTCGTCCATGCCGACCTGATATCCTAAATTAATCTAGTCCCATTTGCCAGCACATACCTCTTAAACCCTTAATCTACCCATCCAGATGCCTTTTAAATGTTGTAAATGTACCAGCCCCCACCACTTCCTCTGGCAGCTCATTCCATACACGCACCACCCTCTGTGTGAAAAAGTTTCAGCTTTTAAATCTATCCCCTTTCAACTTAAGTCTATGCCCCCCCAGTCGTATTTCCCCACCTTCGCACGTCTTCCCCCCCCCCCCTTCAGCCCCCCTCCCTCGCCCCCTCTCTCCCACTCAAACACATACACACTCTCTCTGCCGCTCATACACACTCTCTCTGCCGCTCAT